TATTTTTATTATTTATATATTACTATTTATAATTAATAATTATATACTATTTATATTACTATATTTATATAATATAGTATATTATATAATTATATTACTATTTATATTAAGATATAAATGGTAATAAAAATAATATAATATTAATACATTATAAAATGTTATATCTTTTTATCTATTTTTATTATTTATATATTACTATTTATAATTAATAATTATATACTATTTATATGACTATATATTATATAATATAGTATATTATATAATTATATATATATATAGTATAATATATAATTATATTACTATTTATATTACTATTAATTACTTATACTTGTATATTAATTACTAATATTTATAATTATATTACTATTAAGATATAAATGGTAATATAAATAACATAATATTAATACATTATAAAATGTTACCTCGTTTTGGTTATCTATTTATATTATTTGTACATTACTATTTATATCATTAAGATATAGCTAAAAAGAAATAATCTTTTTTATTATCTTTGATTACAACTAGAAACTAATTAATGAAGAATAAATGGGAGAAACGTCGATCTGAACGAAAGAAAACGGACTTTCACCACTTTCAAAATAAATGAAACAAAGCAAGAAATGCAATGGACCTACTGCAGTCCGACCAAATGAACTGAGACATTAAACGAGACAACAGTAATGAAAAACAATTAACGATGCGTTTTTTTTTTTTCTTTCTTTTTAGTTTAGTTCGAGGGACTTTCGAACGTTACAGGCGAATAATTTTCGACGTAAACGGGGAATGAATTGGACGAAGCACGTTTCCCGTTTTTTCGTGCGCGATTTTCAAACGTTGCACACTCGCCTCGGGCGGGCTCGCAACATTTGAAAATCGCGTATGAAAAAACGCGAACATATTTCTCCATTGTACTGGTACAAATGTGTGTGACATGCATGTACGAGAACCGAAAGGAAACAAAGTCTCTTTCAAACGAATCACGCGCATCGTACGATATGCGTGATTGACAGTTTCTCTTGTTCTTTCGGGTTGCCTAGCCGACTTCCAAGATTTCAGTATATCACTTGCGAAAGTTCCGGATCTGACAGATGACGTAATTAATTACGATTAGATGACGATCTTGTTCTTATTAGTTTTAAAAATAATAGTAAATATAATTTAACAGTAGTTTTAGTCGAATTACGTCTAATTACGTATCTCTTTTAGCATCTTGCTGTGCCTTTAGGGAAATAAATGAATGAATTGTGTAGGTGAGTAACGTGAAGTTGATAACTGCATCAAAAATGGAGTCGTTAAGAGTCTGACTTTCGAGAGTTTCATCTTGGACTTGATCCTATTCCTAGCTCTAATTAAAAAACGAACTACCTGTTTCTTTTTATGTTGTTAATTAATACAATCGTTTGTGTTGGAAAGGAAGATCGTTACATGGTATGCAAAAAGCGTCATGTCAGAATAAAATGAACGTGTGTCAATGTATAGTACCTATTGATTCACCATTTTAGAGAAATGAAAATAAAGAAATAATATCATATGTGAATATTATGTATAATATTATATATTATACAAATATAAATAAATATAGAATGCAGAAAATGATTGGAAGAAGATAAAACTTGTTGTTGCCAATAATGAAGACAGTTTAAGAGGAATGGCATGAAATTGAATATCATTAAAAATTTAACAGATTCCAAAAAGTCTACTAGAATTAAAGAAACGATTCAAGTAAGAATTAAACATTTAATAATATTAAATATTTAAAAAGTATTCTTTCACGTTTCTTAGCTTCTTTCGTCAATAAATAATAATTTCGATAAAACAGATGTTTATTTTATTCCAACATGGCTGATTTTTAACTGAAATCGGGCCACAACCGTTTCACTGTTCCGAATCTCCTCAACCGATCGAACCTGTCTCTTCCTTCGTCAGTCGATCGAATAATAGAAACTTACGTTAAGTTCGCGATAAATATATATTCTAATAATATTCTTTTATTACAAACAATAGTTGATTAAAACAGATGCATTTTATACTGTACGTATTCCCGATTTTTAACCGAAACCATATTCACACGAAGACACCGAGTCTCCTCAACCGATTAAACCGTTCCTTTATCGATCGAAATA